CCCTGGGCCATGTGTCCATCCTGTGTGTCCATCCCATGTGTCCATCCCCTGTCTGTGTGTCCATCCCTGGCCGTGTGTCCATCCTGTGTGTCCATCCCTGGCCGTGTGTCCATCCCCTTCTGGGCACCCTCTGTCCCTGGGCACGGACCTTCCCTGGGCGCGGTGTCACCCCTGGGGAACCAACTCCTCCTCTGCTGCACTCGGAGCCATCCCTGGGGCCCCAAACCCTTCTGGGACCCCTGGCAGGACCCTCCCCTGGCAGGGACCCTCCCCTGGCAGGACCCTCCCCTGGCAGGACCCTCCCCAGGCAGGACCTTCCCCTGGCAGGGACCCTCCCCTGGCAGGACCCTCCCCTGGCAGGGACCCTCCCCTGGCAGGACCCTCCCCTGGTAGGACCCTCCCCTGGCAGGACCTTCCCCTGACAGGACCTTCCCCAGGCAGGGACCCTCCCCTGGCAGGACCCTCCCCTGGCACGGCTCCGCCCGGAGCGCCGTGGGCCAGATTCCCTGCCCCGGGATGAGCCTGGAGCCCAGCCCTGCCACGATGCCACGACCCGCGGGGCAGCAGCTCCTTCCCGAACGCTGCGGGGATCCCCGGGCACCCCAACCCGCCCAGCGGGGTCCTGCGGTGCCCCCGGAGCCCCGGGGCCCGCGGGGACGCTGACCCGGCCCCGGCTGCCCGCAGGGAGATCGAGTTCCTGAAGAAGGAGACGGCGCAGCGGCGCGTGCTGGAGGAGTCGGAGCTGGCGCACAAGGAGGAGATGGAGAAGCTGCAGGAGAAGGTGGGCACGGGGCGCCGGGACGCGGCGTGTCCCTGACCCCCCGCCCGCCCGCCTGCCCGCCGCCGACCCGGCCGCCGGAGCCCCGACTGAGCCGCGGATCCCACGCCGGACCGTGGGCATCGGCCACCGCCGGACCCTGCTCCCAACGCCGGATCGCTCGGGATCGGCACGGGATCGGCCTGGGATGTGATCAAGATCNGATTCCCTGCCCCGGGATGAGCCTGGAGCCCAGCCCTGCCACGATGCCACGACCCGCGGGGCAGCAGCTCCTTCCCGAACGCTGCGGGGATCCCCGGGCACCCCAACCCGCCCAGCGGGGTCCTGCGGTGCCCCCGGAGCCCCGGGGCCCGCGGGGACGCTGACCCGGCCCCGGCTGCCCGCAGGGAGATCGAGTTCCTGAAGAAGGAGACGGCGCAGCGGCGCGTGCTGGAGGAGTCGGAGCTGGCGCACAAGGAGGAGATGGAGAAGCTGCAGGAGAAGGTGGGCACGGGGCGCCGGGACGCGGCGTGTCCCTGACCCCCCGCCCGCCCGCCTGCCCGCCGCCGACCCGGCCGCCGGAGCCCCGACTGAGCCGCGGATCCCACGCCGGACCGTGGGCATCGGCCACCGCCGGACCCTGCTCCCAACGCCGGATCGCTCGGGATCGGCACGGGATCGGCCTGGGATGTGATCAAGATCTGCCCGGGATGTGCCCGGGATGTGATCAGGATGTGCCCGGGATCTGCCCGGGATGTGCCCAGGATGTGCCCGGGATGTGATCAGGATCTGCCTGGGATGTGCCCGGGGTCTGCCCGAGATGTGCTTGGGATCTGCCCGGGATGTGATCAGGATCCGCCCGGGATCCACCTGGGATCTGCCCGTGATCTGATCAAGATCTGCCCGAGATGTGCCCGGGATCTGCCCGGGATGTGATCAGGATCCGCCCGGGATCCCCTGGGATCTGCCCAGGATCTGCTGGGGCGCCCGAGCCTCCTCCCGGCGCTGGATCCCGCTCTGGATCGCAGCGGATCTGCTGGGCTCCAGCTCTGGGGCCTGACATCCCCGAGGGGGCGAGAGGGACACGGATCCCGCCGGGCGCGGGGAATCCACGGGGATCCCGGTGACCGGGGTCGGATGTGGGGGATCGACAGGATCCTGGTGACCGGCACTGGGTGCGTGGGATCCACGGGATCCCGGTGACCGGTGCTGCGGGATCCCGGTGACCGGTGCTGTGCATGGGGGATCTGAGATCCCGGTGAGCGGGGCCCGGCGCGCTCCCGTTGGGATCCCGTGCTGGTCATGCTGGATCCCCCCGGGCCTGCCGGGGCCGTGCGGGGCGGAGCGGATCCCGCAGGATCCCCTGGGGTCGTGTGGGGCTGCCGGATCCCGCAGGATCCCCCCGGCGGCTCGGGGCAGGGGCCGGCCTCACCCGGCCGGGGGGCACCGGGGGGCACCAGGGCCTGGAGGGGAGGTCCCCAGCACCCAGCACAGCCCCCCCAACCCCGCCACCTCCATCGCCCCCAAAATGTCCCCTGGCACCCACAGAGACTCACCCAGCACCTGCCTGCAGCCCCCTCCCCGTGCCAACCCACCCTGTGCCCCCCGTGTGCCCCCCAGTCACCCCCGTGTGCCCCCCACCCCCCCCAGTGTG